CGAGGGTGTAAATCTTTACGGGAGTAGAAAGCCTGATCTTTCTCCCGCGGAGCAGCTGGTAGTTTCGAACCACTGACCTTAAGGTTCGCAACCCGATTCGTAACCACTACACTACCAGAGCTCCTTGAATAAGTATGGTGAAATGATATAACTTGAACAGCATACTTTTCCTGACCTTAAACTTTGCAGTATCCATTTGTTATGTTAAAACAACTGCCTCTTGCTCTTTGTACAGTTCATGAGTACAGTTAAGTGTTCTGGAATTCCTATTCTTTGCAATGTTATAGCGCCACACCAGGACTCCAAAGTGAGGCTAGTAGCTACCAAACGATCCAGCCTTGAGTATGTTGTTGCTGTTAAGTGCCATCAAGTATTCTGACTCATCGTGACTTTGTATAGGTAAAACTGGTAGACTTGAGTTTGCATTTAGCAGTTCAGTGCTTACACTACAGCGCCACACCAGGACTCAGAATTACAGTGATGATGAAATAAGAGTATCTTGTAGCATATTTAGCAATAAGTAGTACATATAGTCCTGGTGTGGAGTCCTTGTAGAGTACTGTGGGTTAATGTGCTGGACTGCAAAATCAGTTTGAACTTCATGGTTGGCAGTTCAAGCTCACCAGCTGCTCCTAGGAAACCCTATACAGGGTCACTATGTGCCAGAACCAACTCAACAGCACTTAACAACATAACAACAGCAACAGTCCTGGTAGAATGTTGTGGGTTAATGCGCTGGACAGAGAGGTCAGCAGTTCAAGATCACCAGCCCCTCCTCGGAAACCCTATATAGGGTTGCTATGAGTCACAACCAACTTGACAGCACTTAACAACAACATATTATTATTATTATTATACAGGCTTTTTTTCATTCTCCTTAAAGCACAGGATAGGATGAATATAAAATATGTAAACACATATGACTTTTTTTTAATATAGGTAAAACCTTTCTTCAATGTCAAAGTTTTTAACAGTTAATTTCAAAGCAAAATAAAAAATATATATATGTGACATTTTTTAAAAAAAAGAAAGAAAAAAGCAGTAAAGCTGCCTCAATTTGTTCTGAACAATGAATTGTAGAAAGTTATTGAATAACGTAACACTAGCCTTAGTTGTTTCTACCTATTCAAAAAAAATCTAACTATACAAATCAATAATATTGAAGGAGTATGAAATGCAGATTGCTGAAACTGAATGCCAGACATTAAAGCTAGATTAAGACAAGAGATAGAATAGGAATAAATTTGTAATTTTTCTTAATTTAAA